TCGTTTTGTGGTCTTGTTTCTCTTCATCATGTCATCCAGGTCCATGTCTCCGCTGATGCACTGTGCATGCTGCAGCCCTTGCACAGTGATCCCGTTAGAGGGTTAATGCTGTGAAAAATGACAGTAAACTGGCACGTTTGCTGCCATCGCCACCACTTTGGGGCCGCCTGCCGCCTTCAGACCTGTTGCCTGGCAACTCCCCAGACAGCATTGCTCCAAAAAGGCGAGAGCTCCTGTCTGCTGTGCTGCGATACAGACCCATGCCTAATAAGCATTACATCTCATTTTGTCTTATCATTTTGTTGTTAGTGACACAAGTTTGCCTAGAGCGAAGGCTTTGCAACGAGCACTAATGCAGAATGTGTTTCTCTTGTTGAATGAATATTATGACTTGCAACGAAAGAGACTCAGTGGAGCATTTTTTGTTCAGCCACTAACAAGTCAATGACAAAAATAATAATGTAGACTTTTTTTTAATGGAATGTATTTAATAAGCTCCGTGAACACTAGATATGTAGGCCCCATATCCGCCATCTAAAGAACAGAAATAAAAGTACTCCTTGAAAGAATGCACGTCATCCACCACCATACATGCCAAGGTTTTCAAAAAAAGACCTGCTTCGATCTGTTAGAGCTCAGAGTGCGTGATCAGGATGACTCCACACCAGACTTTAGCTCAATATCTGCAACATTGACTGAGTTATAGCCATTTCTGTGTCTGAGTTAAAGTAAGTTAAAAGTTGGAGAAAAATATTCTCGCTTACGTTGTTAACTCAGAAGGAAACACACTCAACAGCAGTGGAAGATTGTTTTTTACAAGAATATTACTTGAAAGGTCAGATTTTCAAGATAGGTTACAAAAATATACATAAAATGTGCACACATGACGAGCAGTCACGAGAATCTGCCCTGAGCTGCCATCTTAGCTTGTTTTTATAACCTTATCAGTTCAGCCGAGTTCACAGATCTAGCTTTCTCCACTAACCCAAACATACGGTTCATGGGCAGCGTTAACATTCTCAGTCATAGTAATAAAAATATTCATAATCTTTCACCAAAAATTAGCTGACAAAAAGATTAAATCCTAAAACGAGACTAATTACAAGTAATTTGTGAGTCTTTTCTTTATTCTAACCATTCAAGGAGATCTTAATTAGTCAAGCTGGGATGTTCATTAAAAAAAACATACAATAGATCATGAAAGAACAGCAATAAATAAGACAAAGTAAAAGACAGCAAAAAGTACAGATTATAGTTTATAACAGATTAATTTTAAATTGCCCCAAATAGCTTAAAAAACGGCAAACATAAGAATGAGACTGTTTTTCGTCCACAAGTGAATTTCCCAAATAAATATTACAAATAGATTAACGTTTTTATATTTATGCTGTACAAAATGAAGCGTAGAATTTTGTAAAGGAATGTGTATTACCTGCAGCCTTTCATGCCAGAGTTTTAGATTAAGTTCATTTTATGTTGAGAAATAACAAAGTAGTCGTTTTGGTGAACACTTATGTGCAAACTAAAGCAATATGCCTGGATGTCACACTCAAAGTATGTGTTGAGAATGACCACTAGCTACTACATGTTTGTGGTTTGTTTTATTGTCAGTTGACTGGGGGAGCCATCCTGAAATAGATTTACTCCAAAAGTTGATCATTTGTGGAGAATAGGCCTGAACGATTTTGGAAAATATTTTAATTGCAATTTTTTTACCTCAATATTGCAATTTAATATGCAATTATTTTTCAATGTCTTCTTCTCATGTATTTTTCAACGAACGCAAGCAATAAATCTGTTTCAGTTGCAAAAAAACTCTGTAATGCTGTAAACTCAGGCTTGGTCGCTTTATTAATGGGCATCATGTCTTTTGCTATGAACTCTATTATTGCTAGAGTTATTTCCACGTGCTGTTTCAAATTATAGTATGTTCATACGTAGTAATACCTTCGAACAGTTCGGTCAGTGATCCCTGTCGGCTGCTACTTTGCTTACTGTAAGTTGAAGCTCTGGTCGTTGGCATTCTAGCCATGCAACCATCGTAAATGGCTTTGTGTTGATAACGATTTGTGGCGTTACCTCGAGAGGTAGCAACAGCAGCAAGGCAGGTTCTGCACAATACATGCCGTTGCGCAGCGTCTTCTTTTTTATAGACAAAATAATTCCAAACAACAGACGTGCTGCTCCTCTTTGTTACCAAACGTTCAGATGTGCCAGCTTCTGTTGAGCCTGATGCCATTGTGCAACCGGTTAAAGCTCAGTGTTGACTTCTCCCACTTCCTGCTCTGCTTTGCTCCGCTCACTCGCAAGTCGTAATCAGATCATGTGACCAGTCAAATCGCAGCCTTTGCGATTAGAAAATCTTGTTTTATCATATCGCAATATTATTGCAAATGCAATTAATTGTGCAGCCCTAGTGGAGAAACATCCAAAAATTACTTTCTGCAAGTTTCAGTAAAATCTGTTCATCAGATATTTTGGGAACGAGCACACAGACATGGGCAAAAACATTACAGTTCACCTGCAGATGGCAGGTCACTGAGTAAAACCTCATTTTCAGTGGGTTTCATTCATTCATCGTGGATTCATTTATCAGTCTGAACAGAAGTTAAATTGTAGAATGGGAGTCGTGAAGAAGTTATTTTTAGCACAAATGATTGGTCATATTTGTGTTTGGGTTTTTTTTTGGTTTTTTTGCATTCTGCCAAGTAATTGAGGCTTCTTGTGAGAAGATGTAAAAATAAAAATGAATAAAAAAAGAATGTTTGTGCGTCATCTTCTGCCCCACTTTCCGTTGTCTCCTTGTGGTAGCTTTTAAAGCAGCAACCCATTTTTATCAAAGCCTCACCTAAACCTAACAAGAACTCTAACCTCCCGGTTCTGACGTGAGTGACACGAAGCACACGGTTTACTGGGGAAGACTCGGATGGGGGGTGAGTGTGGGGATTTTAAGAGTTTTCATAAATGTGTGTGAAATTATTGGCACTGATGCAGCCCCTCGCTCTTAAATGTGTTTCTGTTTTTTGTTGCCAACTCTGAAGATGGGAGAATTTGACTCCACGTTAGAATTGTTTGGAGGTCGGGACAATCACCTGCTGTGTTTTTATTTTTCTCAAAACAGAGACTGAAGGCTGTATAGGGAGCACAGTGGGAGACGTTTTTATCCCACGGAAAGGAATGTTGGAAATTAAAGGCCTAGCTTTCCGTGAAGAAATGCATACCACCTGCTGCCTTTCAAAGTTTTAGAATAAGATCATCTAATGTTGAGAAATGGCTGAGTTGTAGCTGTTTTGGCCAAACGTTGACAATAACATTATGTGTAATCTCACAGAGTATGTGCTGTAAATGACTCTCAGCTACTACCACATCATATTTTACCTCATTATCTGTAAAACTGACTTGGTCACTTGTCCATCAGCTGTGTAAACTATATTGAATGGGTTAGGCTCCAAGTGTTTTTCAGGTGCAATAAATTATCTCCTGAAAGATTCATTCAAATACATCTAGTGGTGTATGAGATATGTTGTTAACAGACAGGCAAAGTAGATTCCTAATAGTTAATTCCAACGTTTTATTCATTAGACTTGGACAATATTTAAATGCTCTGAATATGTGTTATGGGTCAGTCCAAGCTACTACCACACCAAAGCTTATCTCAATATCTGTAACATTTATACTATATATATATCTCTTTTGGGGGGTTGTAGGTTCAGTTGGCTGTGTCAGTCAACTTAAATCAGGTTGAATCCAAATATTAATCAGTGGTAGACATCTATCCAATAAGTACTTTCTACAAGTTTCATTAAAATTCATTATGTGGTTCATGTGATATTTTGCTAACAGAGACTGGATAAGCAACAACATTCTCTTCTGTATTCACCTTTTTGCAGCAGGTAATTAAAAAGCAAGAAAACTGTGTTAGAACACATCAAATATCAGATAACTGAGCTAGAAATGTTATGGAGTGGTCTCTGTTTTTAAATTAATTTATTTTAGGTGTATGAGTGCAGCTCTTTAAAGACCAGTGTTCCTGTTTTAAGTGATCATCGTATAGAGAACTGCTCATGTAAATCCACTAAGGTCATGGAGGAAAACCTGAGTAGCTGCAATCTTCAATAATGTGAGGTGAATGAAGAGTATGCAGGCCAGAATGACGGGGAAAAGTGCCTGGATATGTGTGTGTAGGGGTGGGGGTCAGTGGTGAAGATCATTCACAAGATGCTGATACTTTGTTTCAAAGCAAAAATGTATTCATATATTCCTGCTGTTCAGCTTTATTTTCCATCTTGAATTTTATAAATTGACTTTTCTCTCCTGCACCACTACTATAAACGCCCGTACACACACTGACACTCCAGCACCAGCTGCAGAGACATGAAATATGTCCTACTGTAAATAAGACTGAACAGGCACACTTTAAGAGAGCAGCAGCATTATGCACAGTCCTGCTCCCAGGTGTCCTCCAGTTAATATGGATTGGTGTGGATACAGATGACTCCATGTAGGCCGAGCACAAAGTGGGAAGAAGCAAAGAGAGCTTTTATTGTATTAACACCCAGCACAAGTACCTTTATTTTCCCCTGCAAGTCACCTGTGTCATGAGCTGTGAAGTAGAAGGAAGACCTAATAAAAGACGGGATGTGGCGTGACGGAGGGTGACTGACAGGGTACATAGAAAGAAAATGATGTAAATTGCATTAATGAAGCATCGGTATTCATTAATAGTCCAATCACAGAGTTGGCTTGGGGGAAGGTGATTGTAGGAAACAATTTGGTGGCACACCTGCATGTCTGATCAGCGACAGCCTTTATTCGGAGGAACAACTGTCTGCATGGGTTTGTGTTGCTGCCTATGACGCATCTGTATGGGGAAATAGTTACTAATGCAGTCTTTTTCTTCAGATCTTACATTCATTCATCAACCTTGTTTTTTTTTTCCCCAATACAAAGTACATTTGTGTGCTCAGTCCGCTTTCTTTGTTTTTTCTTGTTGCCAACAGCCAGACCCACAAGGCCGGGACATCGCCATCCGTCCCTTCTTGGAGCACTGTGAGAACACCCACATGACCATTTGGCTTGGCATCGTCTATGCCTACAAGGGACTGCTGATGGTGAGAGAACACACAGTCTGACACAAAATCACAGTCTGGACACATGCATTAATCCCCACTTACACTCTGTAACAAAAAGATGTAGTGTTTGAATGCGTTTGCTGCTGGGACTCTTCACGAATATAAATTCAAAAAGCGCGAGAACCTTCTTTTTATGTTAGGTAAGTTTTCTATGAGTGTTACAATTTGTATGATGTACATATCTTTTTTTAAAGGTATTTGTCCCTTTCTCTGCCATATTTGCACACAGAACTCAGTAGATTTCACTTCAGCTCCAAAATCAATGTAAAATTAAGATTTTTAGTGTTTATCCAATTCAAGCCAGGAACAACACAAAATAACTATTAATATATTTAAAGTTCTAGCAAAGGAAAAAAGATCTTGGAAAATTAAGAGTTTGTACCATTTTTTTTCCTTGAGATTGTTGGCATTGAAATTAGTATAATGAATAATATTTTTAATATTGATTATCTCTGATTAATTTATTGGTTTATTATTGTCATTTAGATTCATTTCTTCCTGATTAAATTGTTGTCTTGACTGATTTCATTTGAATATTCTTGTAATATTCTTATTTCAAGTCCATCAGTGTAGAGTCAGTACTGCAGGTAAATGCTAAATACTGACTTTATTATGTTTTAACATTATTAAAATTAAATAAAAACTTCATGAAGCAGGAATAGAGCAACTCTAAAGTTGTAAGGTTTGATTATGTTTGCAAACCAACATCGTGAAAAGGTACTTTGGGTAATTTGTCAACAAAAATGTAAAAAATATTTAAAATTATTATACACCAGCTACACTGCATGTTAAAAATACTGCATAGAAAACATGTTCAAACACACAAAACAAATAGTTTTTGAAAAATGTTTTTTTAAAAAAAAAAAAAACATTTGAAATAAAATATTAAGATAATTCTGGAAACAAACTGGAGGAGTATAAAAAATGGAAAAGCATTTAATGTATAATATTTATGTGTTGTTTAATTTGCATTGTACAGTTCAGAAGCCTCTAGTTTTGATGACATGCAGGTTCATCAATGCTCAATGGATGTTAGTGATCATTAGTGGCAGAAGTCCTTTGTTTTAACAATGTTTTACTGGGTCACTGATCAACAAAAGTCAGAAAGAGCAGCTTGGAATTAATTAATTCTGGAGTACTACAAGGTTGTGTTCTTGTGCCCCTTCTTTTGAGTCTCACCAAAACAGTTTTATTGTAAGCAGACTCCTCAGTATCATCAACCAAAATATCATACCACATCCTGTTGTCAGTTACGGAAACAGTCAATTTCCTAAAGATTGCCAAACCCAGCAACTTAAAAAGGGAGAGTAACATAATTACTGTCACCACAAAGGCACAGCTGGGTATGTTTTCCCATAGCAGTTTCAAAAATTAAATGTGCCACAATCCTTGTTAATTCACTTCTACACATCAGTTTTCAAGTTTATAACTTGATATATTAAATATGGTTTTGTGTAATAAATCTTATTTTTGTTTGCCTTTCAAATGTCTTTAAGCTTCAACAAATGCTGCTTCTAGGTGTTTTAACGTGTCTGAATAACCCTGTTTTTACTTGTTTTCTCTCTTTCCTGACAGTTGTTTGGTTGTTTTCTGGCATGGGAGACCAGGAACGTGAGCATCCCTGCTCTCAATGACAGCAAATACATCGGCATGAGTGTGTACAATGTTGGCATCATGTGCATTATCGGCGCTGCAGTGTCTTTTCTGACCAGGGATCAGCCCAATGTCCAGTTCTGCATCGTAGCTTTGGTTATCATCTTTTGTAGCACCATCACCCTCTGTCTGGTCTTTGTTCCCAAGGTCAGTATTAGCATTAACTATTATGGTACATGCTGAGTGCTTACATATTACCAGAAATTTAACCAAACCCTTTTTACAGTTAATCACCATGAGAACAAATCCAGATGCAGCCACCCAGAACCGAAGGCTAAAGTTCACGCAAAATCAGAAGAAGGAAGACTCCAAGACCTCAACTTCAGTCACCAGTGTGAACCAGGCCAACACTTCCAGACTGGATGGTCTTCAAACTGACAACCACCGTCTTCGCATGAGGATAACTGAGGTCAGAGCCAATGGCTTCTTCAGAAAATGTTGTAAAATTCAAGGTAGTAACTGTGGGTAGAAAGCTTTTTATTGCAGTAATGAACAGAAGACATCCATCAATTCATTATCATTACCCACTTCTTCCTTTTTGGATTATGGGGATCACTGGTGCCCATATCCAGCAGTAACTGTGCTAGAGGCGGGGTACACCCTGGACAGGTTGGAAGTCCATCAGGGACAGGGACACAGAACCAAATGAGACAAACAACCATTCACTCTCACTCACACCTAGGGACAATTTAGAGTTACCCATCAGACTAACATGCATGTTTTTGGTCTGTGGGAGGAAACCGGAGTACCCGGAGAAAACCCACGATGTCCTCCCAGACCAAAGAGATGCGTTTTTGACTATCATACATTAGGGCTGGGTGATGTATCGAATCTACTACATGCGACAGGAGTTTTTCAATTTAAGATGGTTAAAATGGCTCTATCACAACCACTAAGAATAAATTGCCATTCAAATATCTCCCGTTTGCGCCACCAACTTCACGCGGCCCCTCCTTCTCCCTCACTGAATACAAACCCAGCTCTTCACCTGCGAGTGCTCCCCCCACTTCCTGCTTCTCCAGGTGGACAGGAAGTTTAGCACAACAAGTAAACAGGAGATATCGAAGAGCAGCTGAGCTTCTAAGCAAAAAAGAAAACAATGGCAGTTATTTGGAGATGGTTTGGATTTAAATTGTCAGATGAGCAGCAGAAAAATGTTTTCAGTAGACAGTGCTGAAAACAAGCCCTGACAAAAGGTCGGCACTTTTCACCATTTAAAACAGCGCTCTAAGTGGAGTATGAAGCATGTGGGAAACTGCAGCCAAAGCTCCGACTGTTCACTTCAGCCTCCTTCCCTGAGACATACCACGGGTCAAAACTCATTTATCCATGCTGTGCCTTATGAGAGGAACAGTGAGAGGTAGCGTGACATTAATAAAGCAGCAGCTTATATCGCTATAGGAAGACACAGTCCCAGTCTCAACTGTGGAACAAGACGGCTAAAGTTAGCCATCTTGTTAGCCGCTAAGGACCATGTCTTTAGCAATATGATTAGCCACTGCTTTATTAATGTTGGGCTACCTCTCACTGGAAGATGTGAAAATATGTGTACAGTCGTTCTCTTTTTTCTGCCCATCTGCGCCGCCAGTTTTACGCAGCCCTTTTTTCTCCCTCACTGAATACAAACACATCCCCTCAAATGCTGCTTCACATACGCTTACTAACGTAGTGAAGGTGGCGCAGCTGAGGAGGATTATTAGTTAATATATGTAAATGAATAATAGTACATATTAATTCCTCTTTTTTTCTGGATATAAATCATTTTTTTGGATGATTATTTACTCTGGTATCAGATGCTGTGCAGCTGGAAGGATTTTTACAGAAACTTTTTTTACTTTTGGGCATTTGTTATGATGTGTAACCATGGCAGCAAGGTGTTTTTTAACAACCAGGAGCGGCTGATTAACATCTCAAAGCTTAAATACTTCAACTACAGCCCCAAATCCCAAATGTGTTGAAAAGGAGGCGCCGTGGATGAATTCCCGTCAATATGGTGGCAGTGTTCGAGTACCTGGCCGCCGAGATCCTGGAGCTGGTGGGAAACTTGGCTTGTGACAACGGGAGGGCCGGATCATCCCCCGGCATCTTCAGCTGTCTGTCTGTCGTGACAAGAAGCTCGGCAGACTGCTGAGAGGAGTGACCATCGCTCACAGAGGAATTCTGCCCGGCATTTGGGCAGTCCTGCTGCCCAGGAGGACCGAGAGGCACGTGGGATCTGACAGCAAGCTGGATCCGGGTGGATTGTATCTGTGGCCAGATTCTTCAGATTTGCTGCTGGAGATCCTTCCTGCCCACAGCTATCAGCATCTAACAACTCTTGAATGAAACCAGGATGATGAGCTATGACAACACTTAATTTCCCTGTTGGATTAATAAAGTATTTTTGAATTGAATTGAATAGTTTATTTTTTAGACATTTATTTTGTAACGATACATCTCTTTGTTAGTAAATGTGCCTGTGTGACAACTGGGACAAAGCTTTGACTCGAAATATATTTATGTTATTACTTTATGGAAAGAAAAAATATATCCAGATATATATCGTATCACCATTTTTCTTAAAATATTGAGATATTAATTTTGGTCCATATTACCCAGCCCTACCATAAATAGAAACTAATAGGTGTGAGTGAGAAAGTGAATGGTTGTTTGTCTCATTTGTCTCTATGTGTCCCTGTGATGGACTGGAGACCTGTCCAAGGTGTCCCCCGCCTCTCGCACAGTGATAGCTGGATATGGGCACCAGTGACTCCCACAACTCAGAAAGGAAGAAGTGGGTAAAGATGATGGCTGGCTGGATGGATGGACATAATAATTAATAATATGTTATAAAAGGAATGAAAAGCAAAGCCTTCATTTAATAGTAAAGATAATAGCTCTTTTGCCCTCAGTGAGTTTTCAAATTTTCATCTGTGATTTTTAGTAATTTTGTTACCTCCCAGTAAGGTAATTGTTAAAAGCTGCTCTGGACTCTTTAAGAGACTAAGAGACCCATGTTTTTTGCTGTGCACTCTTATTGAAGCATTTTATAAAACATCAGTATAAACGTTCATTTATCCTGACACTGAGTGACGTTTGGATAAAGGGGAAAAGAAAGACCCCCAGCAGTCAGTTCTTTGTGAAAAATCAACGGGGTGAATTTCTACTGCTCCCTTTTGTTTGATTGTAGCAAATGAGAAGTCGCTGCAACACTTTTAGAGGACACTAACTTATGATGGCTTTCCCGGCAGCAGTTCTTGTCATAGATTTGGTGAATGGAAGCCAAATGCAGACTTGGAGGCAGACAGATCAGATCTCAGAGTTTATTGACAAACGGGGTAATTTAGTGTGGGAACAAGAGCAGGGAGACGAGAGAATGGACCAGAGAGTCAAAGAGCTCAGTTGAGTGGTGGCAGGCAGATGGATCTGTGAAATCTGAGGCATGAAGAAATGGAATTAGATCAGGAAAGGTTTGCATGAATAATGGCCCACACTGACTGTAGCAGTGTTTACGGTCTGGTGCTGAGTGGAGATTTGAGGACGATACGAATAGCCAGGTTGATTAGGGTCCACCACACCAAGAAGAAATCAATAATCATATGGGATAGGGGAAAATAGGATGGAGACCCTGGTTAAAATGTATGGAGTAGAGGCTACAGTAAGTCTTTTAGACAAAAGACCGAGGAGACATCAAAGGTTGAAGTCAACCGATTGCTATTATGCCTCAAAGTCACTAAGTGACATAGTGACAGAGCTGTAATGCTCTACACATAAAAAGCTAAGGGTACTGTCTTACTGGGCTGCAGATTTGGGACACAAGTTGGTGAACAGATTTGCAAGGAAGTCTCCAAAATGTCCAGATGTTTGCAGGGGTTCTCAATTTTCTTGCATGTGTCACAGAGGCTCAGTGTTGTTGCTTAAATTTTGAACAACATATTGTCTCTAAAAATAGTCTGCTGTTGTGGGCATCTCCGACCCATCGTGATCCTTCTCAATATAGTTTCTATAAATTCTGGAGCACAAGGGCTGCTTTAAGACACCTGCATGTGTGCACTCATATAACAGAAAACGTATGAGACCTCAGGCCTGAATGTCCAGGAATCATGCAGATGGAAAAACATCAATTGCTACATAAAATGGTCAATTTGCCTGTTTTCTGGTTTAAACTGTTTTTTTGGTTCGAACGGCCTATTTTAATTTCTAAAGTGTACGCCAATAAATTAAATCACAAATGTGGGGATGGCTGCCAAGGTGGGTACAAAGCAGGCCAAGGCAGGTATGATGACGGTGTAAACGGACAATGAAATAATGCGCATTACAAATAATACAGTTTTGTAAACCATGCACACAAAAACAGGCTGTTTTTCAAAATGTTCCCTATTTTCTCTCAGTTTTGAGTCGCCAACTATGCTCCAACTGTTGATGCCCATCTTACGCTGGCGTTGCATCTCAACTGTGAGACACAGGGATGACAGCCAACTTGCCAGATTGAGATGTGGTAGATATTAGACATATTTTATGTGTAGTGCAGCACAGCAGCATTATACTCCGTACCGCTGATGGTTCTTATTTACGAAGGCTCACATCATCAAGGACATGGTCGGCACAATTGACTAGATTGATGATTTAAGAACTCCCAGAGGCAGCTTAAAGAAAGGCTTGTCTTTGCAACCATATTGTGGAACTGTTTCGTAAATGAGACAATCGTTTTTAAGATACTTCATTGAGACGATTACTGAGAGGAAACAGGTGTGCTGATTACTAACAGAATACACGTGATTTGTGTGGAGCTGGAAAGAAGGGTAAAAACATCTAGTGGCAACAATACCTGTGTCGTAATATATATTTTCATTTCATCCATTATGGTCATTTTACAAAAACAAAAGGTAAACTAAAGATTCATCACTGTTTTGTTTGTTTGTTTTCTTAAAAGTTGGACAAGGAGCTGGAGGAAGTGACCATGCAGCTGCAGGACACCCCAGAGAAAACTCCCTACATTAAACAGAACCATTACCCAGATGCCAATAACATCCTCAGCATACGCAACTTCACAGATGGGAAAGGTAAGGAAATGGAAATACTGACTGTTTAACTTATTTTACTTGTCATAAAAGTGATAGATATATACGTGTCTGTATACTATATATATATATAGTATACAGACACGTAT